GGCGAGGGGGCGCGGGGGCCACGGGCGGGGCCCGAGGGCCCAGGTCCGCGCCTGCCTGCGCGAGGAGAAGCGACTCGTCAGCGAGGCGGGCGCTGTCCCAACAACATCGCCACGACTCCGCACTCGCGCACCCAAAACTGCGCCGTCGTCGTCGTGGACCACAAGGTCTTCCCCCCTGTGACTCGGACCGAGCCGTCACAGCGCCCCAAAGTGACACGAGTCACAAGTAAGCCCTCTTTATTGCGTTTTCAAAGCAGAGGGACGGACTTAGAAAACACGGACTGATCGTTCTGATAGCAGCGTGACACACTGGAGTGGTACTTTTAGACTAAATCGCGTGCCGATTAGTATTGGGGTGCGAGTGAAGGTGCTGCGTCACTACTTCTACTGTGGAAGTGAAAGGTCAGAGTGCGTTGGGAGATTGTGACACCAATACCAGTATCCTTCCCCTATGTAAAGTGTCCCTGTCCATATGACTCTCTCATGGGTATGGCAGACCCAGCAGCTTCCGTAGGGCCGCACTTTGAATGTGCCAAGTTGAGTCCGCAGTCGTCCACGTCCACGCACATGCAAAAGCACAGGCATCACCGCCACACCACCCCAACAACCCAATGACAGTGACATGCACGGAGATGCGACGAGGCGGCACACCTTCAGCGGGGGATTAGAAGCCGTCAGCAAACAAATCCGCCACTAGACTAAACAGCGCATCGAGGAAGTGCATAGAGAGGGACCTCCCTCCAGCAGCGGGGAAGCGGGGCAACCCTTCCCATGACGGCAGAGGGCTCCGCCCGTGCGGGCGAGGGGAGGGGAGGGGGAACCGCCACGGGATCGATAGCGTTTAAAAGTGGCGCGCGACCCTCCCGACCGTCGGAGCGCTCCCATTGGCTGGGCGCGCGATCGTACGACGACAGCCGGGGCCGCCCGGGCCCGCCATGAAAGCTTGCACCACGCTGGATCGAAAAAATCAGCGCACCGAAAGTGACACAAATGTCGGGCCTGTGCAGGGTGGTGCAGGCGCACCGGGTCCGAGACTGCCCCACAAACACGGGGGCGTTTCAAGCCGCAACAGTCGCCGTCGAAAACTTACCTCTGAACGTAAACACTGGGCACCTTCACTCTCTCACGCGCAAAAACACATCACTGGCGCGCTCCGTTCCGGGAGGATCTTGAATCTCACGGCGCCTCGTCGCGCAAAGTTTCCCCCGTGCTCTCATTCATCTGGGCAACTAGAATCAATGCACTAACAAGAATTCCGGGCGCACATAGTTTCCTCTGATGTGCGCCGTGGAGGTTAATGTTTTACACCGTCAGACAGCCCTGCGCTCCGCCTTGTCGCAAAAGTGCGAACCGACTCCGTTTGCTCCCGGGCATAGATAGAATTTGGATGGCAGAGCCCGCCGGCAGCTGATGACCCCTCTCTTTCGTTTCTCTTTTACTGAGTTTTAAAATTCAATTTTTGATCAATTCGTTAAAATGTATTGGTCGAGAATTTTATCTGGCTTTGCTTTTTTAGCTTTGGTCCAGTGTGTCGTCAGAAGGGAAACTTCTAGAAGTACTGGTAGGTGTTTATAACCTATCATCGCCGGTGTTATTTTGGTCGTTATCTAGTTTGTTTAGTTTAGCCCTCAGAGAACTTTATAAGGCCGATGATGCAACACCTAAGCAATATCATTTTTGAAATCAAAAATAAATTTCTCATTGCTTTTTCATGCTGTTAAACTGAGAATGAAATTTTGTATTTCCTCTAAATTCTTAGACACTGTCCAGAGTCTACTGCCAGGTGAAGTGCTCCACTGTTGTAATTCACCAGAATCAAGGGAGTTGCAGACCTATTGCTACAGTGGCAGACCAAAGCATATACTGCATTTATGGCAAACTGTAATTGTAAGTTTCCTGTCATCACTAGTAGTTTTACGGACTCTTCTTCAAAACATATAGTTTATGACCCACCTTTTTAACAATGTTTCAGCTAAGAATTAAAAGTAACGATGAAAGCTTTGAATTATATGAGGGAGATACACCCGAAGCTGTTCGAACGGCTTATGATCAACATCGATCCTCTTGGGGCCTTCACGTAATTTGGGGACAACAGAGATCAAATGAAATAAAACTACCAGCATTTAACCGGAGCTGCATTGGTGTTAGCAGTTCTTCTGATTATTCTGTCCACCTTCTAGTTATACGTAAGTAAAGTTCTTAATATTTTAAAATTTATTTGAATTCTATCTAACGTAGGTTCTAAAATTTAATTCCAGGTGTGGACTATTGGCGAGTCTTACAGTTTGTCTGTGGACTTCTCTTGTTTTTCTCTGCCTCAAGGCTTAGTGAAAATTATTTATTTTATTACATTAGTTGCATTGCATTAGGAATGACAGCTTCTGCCTTCATTGTCACTTATTTCATAAGCAAATTGCTGCCAGCGGTGAGTCTATTTCATACTTTTGTCTCAATTATGCTTCTTGCTTTTAT